TTTTTTTTTTTTTTTTTTTTTTTCCTGGGAAGCTCTTTATTTCACCATCTATTTTGAATGATAGCCTTGCTGGAGAGAGTAGTATTGGTTTCAGATCCTTGTTTTGCATTACCTTGAATACTTCATGCCATTCCCTTCTGGCCTATAAAGTTTCTGATGAGAAATGAGCTGACAGCCTTATGGGAGCTCCTTTGTAGGTAACAGATTGCTTTTTTTTTTTTTTGCTGCCTTTAAGATTCTGTCTTGAATTTTTGGCATTTTAATTATGATGTGTCTGGCTGTGGGCTTCTTTGGATTCTTCTTGCTTGGAACTCTCTGTGCCTCCTGAGCTTGTGTGACTTTTTCCTTCACCAGGTTAGGGAAGTTTTTTACCATTATTTCTTCAAACAGTTTCTCACTTTCTTCTCCCTCTGGTATATTCCTATGATGCAGATGTTATGTTTCATGTTGTTCCAAAGTTCCCTTAAACTGTCCTTATGCTTTTTAAGTGTTTTTCTTTTTTTATGCTCTAATTGAGTGTTTTTTCCTACCTTGTCTTACAAATCGCTGATTTGGTCCTCTGCTTCATCAGCCTACTTTTAATTTTTTCCAGTGTATTCTTGATTTTTAGTTATAGTGGCCTTTATTTCCATCTGGTTCTTACGCATGGCTTCTATACCTATTTTCATGCTGATGTAGTTCCCAGTGAGTTTCTTGTACTTCCCATTAAGCTTGTTGTGGTTCTATGTTCCTTGAGCCTCCCTATAACCATTATTATGAACTCTCTGTCAAATTGCTTACCTACATTTCACTTAGCTCTTTTTCTGGAAATTTCTCATTTTCTTTCATTTGGGCGTTCTTTTTCTCCCCATATTAGTTGTCCCTTTGTGTTTCTTTATGTATTAGAAAAAACTGCTATGACTCCCTGTCTTTGTGGAGTGGCCTTTTGTAGTAAATGTCCTGTGGGACCCAGTGGTGTGATCTCCTTGAAATCCTGAGCTAGATGCTCTAGGAATGACCCTTTTGTATGTTATTTGGGTTCTTTTGTAATATTTGGTCTATATTGGTGTCACATTCATGGGTGGGATCTCCTCTTAGACTGACTGTAAGGCTCAACCCTGACCATGTTGTGTGAACTGTTGTACATAGCATTCAGGACAAAACAAAACAAAAACATACAAAAGAACCCAACAACAACAGCAAAAGCAACCCCAGGAGAAAAGAGAATTAGGAAAGATTAAACGTTACAAGAATAGTAAAAGAAAAAGAAAATAATTTAGAAAACCCCACAAAATACTAGAAAAGGGGGAGAAAAAAGGTTATGAAAGTAAAGGAAGGAGAGAAGAAAATAAGAATAAGAGAAATAGGAAAACAATAAAAAAGAAAAAGTGCAAAGGTAAAAAAAGAGAAATATATAAATCAAAAGAAATAATAGAAAAAAGTAGAAAAGGAGAGAGAAAAATAAGATGTGAATAAATGAGAGAAAAGAAAATACCAAAGAGATAAAAGAGATGAAATAAAGAAAATAAAGAAGCCAAGTGGAGTTCATCCAATAGAGTTTAGTTCCTGCTAGGATTTCCCTTTGGATCTTGCTCTTATGTTGACTGAGGCTGACTGTTTTTATGCTGATTTTGGGTCTCCCAGGAGGTACCTTTGTGTTAGCCAATGTCAGAAGCTGTCCACATTGAACTCTTAGCACCCTGTTCAAAGTTTCATGCAATTCATAGCTAGTTGCTGCCTCCACTTGGCTTTGCTGCCCACGGGAGGGGCCAAGCTGAGCTCCTAGGCTGGCCTTTTAGCAGCACGGGGCCCAGAGGTGGATCAGCACATATTCAGACTTCAGAGAAGATGGTAGGTGTGTTCCTCATCCCAGAGCCACATGTCTGAGTCTGTCCCGGAATATTTTCCTGACTTCAGCAGGGTGGAGCCCCTCTTAGGCAGGCTTGTGGGGTCTGCTGGAAGCCAGGAGTTTCTATCAGCCCTCCTGTGAGAGGGAAGAGTCAGCCAGCTTCCCAGGAATGTTGGAGGAATGGCCCTTTCCCTAATCTAGTCACTGTTGCACCCTGAGACTGCTGCTTCCTCAGCAGAGGTTGAGATGCAGGGTGGGATGAGCTGGATTTGAGAAAGTTGGGCCAGCTGCATTCCTTAGGGTGAGACTTTTGCCTTTCCCCAGTCCTCTGCTGCTGGGCCGGCTTGCACCTCTCAGGAAAAATGCCTGCTGTGATATTGGGTGGTGGGGGGAGGGAGAGATGACCTAGCACAGGTATCCTGGCAGCCGATCCTCTGCAACTCTCCCCAATTCCTTCCATTCCAGTCTCCTCAGGCAACTCCGGTCCACACTGCCCTCTCTCCACAAAAGCCTCGAGTGGCTGGGAACAAAAATCCTGTGCACCAACCCTTTAAAAAATGTGGCATTGTCTCCAGGAGGCTCAGTCTTTCCCTGGCAGAAGCCCTGCCATTGGGTGCTGCATGGGTGGCTGTTCTAGGCGCTCTGGCTGTCTGCTCTGGGGAGCCTGGGGTTCAGGCCTCCTCTCAGGGAACTCCTGAGAGCCAAGATATCCCTCCTTACCTTTGGCCTACTGCTCCTGGGAGCTGGGCGAGCCCCTCTCATGACCCAGTCCTTCCTACCAGTCTCTAGGTAGTTTCTGCCCTTCCTTGTTTAAAAGTCTCCTCTTCAGCTAGTCTTCAGCTGGTAATTCAGGGTGAATGTTCCCCAATTTAGTTTTAATTACAGCTTGGTTCTGCGAGGATGTGTGAGAAAGATCCACCTACTCTGTCACTATCTTAAACCCCACTGTGGCTGTTTCAAAAGGAGTCTTTGTCTTAATGTATACACAGTGAACTATTTATGGGTGAAATGCTGTTATGTCTCAGATTTGCTTCTAAAAACCTGGTTGGGCTGGGGATGTCCATCGGGCTGTCTGTGGCTGGTTGCTTGGAAGGCTCCTAGGTGGTTCTCTCCTTGATATTTTCCATAATAAAATGTTTTTGGTATCAGGTCTTAGAGTACTAGCTCACTTGTATCTCCAGGCTTGGTGCCATATCCTGAAATAGACCTTTATTTGTTGCAAAAATAGTAAAATAAAATTGAAATCACAATTACAAATTTTAAAAATGTAAAAATAAAAAATGTTGTATGTTAAATCATTTTAAAATTTAAGGTTTTATATCTTTAATGTGTTTTTTATTTCAAAAAAGAAGCTATGCTTGTGAAAAGTAAAAATACAAACGTGAATAATAGAAAAAGGAATATCCCGTCACCCCAGCTCTAGAACTCAGTACTATTCTGAAACACACTACGTAAAATGTTCAGACTGTTTGGAAGTTTTATTTTAAAGTAGGGTAGGAGGACGTCCCATCAAGATGTCAGGGCAGGTAAATGCATTACTTGAATCCTCCCACATCAACATCAAAATTACAATTAAACCACAGAACAACCATCATTTAGAACTGCCTGAAATCTGGCTGAATGGAAGTCCTACAACTAGAGAATTAAAGAAGAAGCCACATTGAGACTGGTAGGAGGGGCAGAGATGCAGAACAGGCTGGTCCCACCCCCACATGTGGATAAAAACCAGGAGGGATATCTCAGCTGCTGAGGTCCCCTACTCTAAGGAGTCAGGATTCCAAGCCCCACAACAGGCCCCACAGCCCAGGGAAGAAATGTCCCCATAACTCCTGGCTGTAAAAACCAATAGGGCATGTGGCTGAGCGAGACAGAGACTGCTGGAGTCCCAGGCATTTCCTCTTCAGTTGCCCCCACATGGACTTAGACGCGATGCCTCAGCTCCAGCACTGGGACCACAGCTTGAAAGGCACCAGTGACATACAGGGAGGAACTAAATTGCCTGGCATCTAGATGAGAGCTAGAGGGGCAGCTTTCTGCCAGACAAAAGTGCTGGCAGAGGCCATTATTCCTTTTTTGATGCCCCGCTCCCCCCAAAAAACAGAGCCATCAACCTGGCTCACACCCTTCACCCCACTCTGGTGATTCCCTGAGACATTCTCCTCCACCCAGCTGGTGGACCCTTCCAAGCCATTTCCAGTGGCTTTTTCATACTACCTGCCTGTCTTGGCTCCTGCTGCAGTTTACTGAAATCTCTCAATGGTTTGCAAATTGCAAACAAGCAGAATTTGGCCTCAGCATGCCCACTCCCTCTCATTAAGTGGCCCCAGGCCCTGCACTAGTAGGAGCTGGCCTTGATTTGCACCTTGGCCTCTCCTGGGCATCTCCAAGCCTAGTATAAGTAGCATACATCTGCAGATCACTTGTGCTGTGTGTCCCCAGGCAGGGCATAGGTGTTGGCTGACCTTGAAATTCCTGGAAGGCCCCAGAGCCAGTGCACTTGGTGAACAGCTTCAGACCACACCAGATTACAACCCTACCGACCACCTACATTAGTGACACACTCAAGGGGCAGACTTGGTGAGCACCAAAACCCCACTGAAGCAAGTTTTGCTCCATAGGGTCAACTGCACAGCAGTTCCTCTGCTGTAATCACAGCTGTTCCTCACAGCTGATTGGACCTGGGGAGTGAATCCCTCCGTCACGCCAACAGCAGTTAAGGCTCAACTATAACAGGACAGTGCACACAGCCCTCACAGAGGCGCGCCTAGAGTGCCCAAATCAGATGACTGGGGAGGCTGCACCATTGAGCTCTGCAGAACACCTCCACAAGGCTACTATACCCAGTCCAGGAGACGTAGCAGCTCTGCCTAATACATAGAAGCAAATGTGGGGAAGCAGCCAAAATGCAGAGACAAAGAAATAGTCCCAAATGAAATACAGGAGAAATCTCCAGAAAATGAACTAAATAAAATAGAAGCAAGCAAACTAGCAGATACGGAGTTCAAACTGGTTATAAGGATGCTCATGGAACTTAGTGAGATCTTCAACAGCATGAAAAAGAACATAGAAATCAATAAAAGAACAGAGATGAAGGAGACACTCACTGAAATGAATAACTTACAGGAGAGCAGACGAAGCTAAGAATCAAATTAGAGATTTGGAAGACAAGGAAGCAAGAAACACTCAACCAGAAGAGCAAAAAGAAAAAGGAATCTAAAAATATGAAGATAGTGTAAGGAGCCTCTGGGCCAACTTCAAGCAGCCCAACATTCGCATTATGGGGATGCCAGAAGGAGGAGAAAGAGAGCAAGAAATTAAAAACCTATTTGAAAATATAATGACAGAAAACTCCCCCTACCCGGTGAAAGAAATAGACTTACAAGTCCAGGAAGGACAGAGAGTCCCAAACAAGAGGAACCCAAAGAGGCTCACAGCAAGAAACATCATAATTAAAATGCCAAAGGTTAACAACAAAGGGAGAATCTTAAAAGTAGCAAGAGAAAGACAGTTTACCTACAAGGGAGCTCTTATAAGACTTGCCAATTGACTTCTCAATGAAAACTTTGCAAGAAATATTCAAAGTGATGGAAAGCAAGGACCTATTACCAAAATTACCCAGAAAAGCTGTCATTTAGAATTGAACGTCAGATAGAGCTTCTCAGACAAGAAAAAGCTAAAGGAGTTCACCACCACCAGACCAGCACTACATGAAATGTTGAAGAGTCTTCTTTGAGAATGAGAAGGGAAAGAATAGATTAAAAAAATATGAATAAAGTGGCAAAATACGTACCTATCAACAACTGAGTCTAAAAATCAAAATAAATGAACAAGCAGAACAGAAACAGACTCATAGATACAGGAAACATTTTGACGGTTTTCAGATGGGAGGGGGGTTAGGGGAATGGGTGAAAAAGGTGACAGGATTAAGAAGTACAAATAGGTTGTTACAGAATAGTCACGGGGATGTAAAGTATAGCACAGGGAATATAGTCAGTAATAGTCTAATAACTGTGTAAGGTGTCAGGGTATGAGATTTTATCGGGATGATTACTTAGTAAGTTATATAATGTGTAAACGCTGGGGTGTGCACTTGAAACTAATATAATATTGTATGTTAACTGTAATTGAATAATAAAAAATGATTAGCAAAAAAATTTTTTTTAAATATCATTCCTAAGAAATTTTAAAAGTAGGGCAGGAAATTATATATTTTATAGTCTTTATATTTAGGATTCTAAGTAATTAAATGAAACACATTTGAAAGTATTCCAGAGAGATTTTGTAGCCTCCCTATAACCCCATATGCACTTATGTAAATGGAAATGTATTTTCTTTCCTAGAATGGAATCTATAGAGAAAATGGAGTCTGATTTCAAAAACTGCCATATGTTCCTTGTCACCATTTTAAACAAAGCCGTCTGTAGAGGGTCCTTTCCCCATTGTGAGTACACATTAAAATTTTACTGCTTTTCTATTTTCTTGTACAGAGGCTTCATGTGACTGGTCTCATGAAGAGTTGGATTTCTCACTATTCAAACCTGGAAAGTCCCTCAGCAGCTGTACCATGCTTTGCATTGTTGTTGTTTTCAGAATTACTGTGGGATGAAAATATCAAAAGAAAAACACGGAGACTAAAGATTTTGCTTTCTAGTATATTGTTTGTTCTTCCAGTGGATTTCTGAAACTTAAAAAAGCAAAGGGCAGAACAGATTTCAGTCACAGTTTTCTTTCGTGTGTATCCTTTGTAACTTCCTTTTCAAAAGATGGGGAGGGTTTGGTTTTTTTTAAGCAGTTTTAAAACTCCCAAAGCTTCCTGACAAACACTGAGCAGGTAAAAGTCAGTGAGGTGAGCCAGGGAGGAGAAAGCTGTTTAATCTGCTGAAACAAAGGACTAAGTCGCATCTGTTTGCACAGCTTTTTGGGGAAAGTATGCAGGGCCAGTCTCCTCCCTGTTTCTGCATATTCAAAGTGTGATTTCATTAAGAATAGCTGAACATTTTTAAAAACATTGTGTTGGAGACATGTTATAGGAAACATTGAAGCATTTGTCTATTTTTGAATTGGGTGATCGTAGGTTAGAACTTGGCATTTTGTTAAGAATGGACTCCAGAGTTTATGACGTGGAACAAATGCAGTTTCTTTAGTGAAATATCCAGATTTGTTTTCAAAATTAAAATGATCTGAAATAGAAATAAATCATACTTTTTCAATTTGTATTCAGTGAAGATAATCTTTATTGTACATTAAAAATGATCACCATTTGAATTTAAAATAGAAATGTCTTTACTTTTCAGTGTTGAATTGACTAAAGCCTTCCTCAGACATTTTCAAACGCTTAACCTAGTTTTAACCTGTTTCTTCCCACAGTGGAGTCTCTAGCGCTGTCCCTCACCGCCGGCGTGGAGCAGAGTTAAATGTCTGCATGTGATAATGCCTCAGACCTTCTCTCCGTACATGCACAGCCCCATCACATGCAGCTGAGAAGGAGGAATCATTTTATTTTGTTTCTTTTTTAAAAACTGTTGTATCTAGACAAGTGGGTTGTAGGTGTTTTCTCTGGAGCTTACCTGGCAGTGTATAGTGCACGTAGCATACAAAAGCGTATCAGCGATGCAGAGCGAACACAGGCTGTTTGCACTCTGTTTCCTCCCGTAAGCCACAGATCTGTGGTCTTGATATCTTTAGATATGAATGATGTCATTTTTGAAAATGTAATCGTTAATATTAAAAATATGTTAAAGCACTTTACATTTTTTATTCTTTTGCTCGGTCACACAAGTTTTTTGGATAGAGTTTTACATGTTTTCCCTAAAGCTTGTCTTAGATTTAGCTGTCTGAAAAGTGTATTTTTATGTGCCTGAGAAGTTCCAAAATGGAAAGTAGCTTCAACCAATATCAATAACGTAAAGGCCAATTTAACACAGGGCCAACTGTTGGTTCATACTATCATTTGGCATTTCTGAGCCATTTTCCTAAGCTAAAATTATGTTTACCATTCCATTTTCCCACATTTCCTTTTTGTACTTAGTCTTTTACAAACAACCACTGATTCCAAACAGCCTCCCAGCTCAGAACCAGGGTGCCCTTGTCCTCAGACAGTCTCAGTCACCCTGCCTGCACACGGCAGTGTCTGGGAACAGCTTTTCCTGGGAGTCATTCCAGCTCTGAGGCTTTCCTCTGAAATTGGAAGACATTCACTGAGGAGACCTTCAAATGCCAGGGGCTGCACAGCTGCTTCTAGATCTGAAGAAAATCCTGCAGCATAACCTACCCACTGAGAGATAGGCACCTCTGTGACCTGCTTCTGCACAGCAGTCTGGAGCCATGGATGGAAGCTTGAGCACCTGTACAGCACCAGATGGAATCGGCATAAAATTCTTTATATGTCACAAAACTCATCACATCCAGTGTACCTTTTTCCTAAACTGAATTAGCCTCTCACACGTACAGCTACAGCAGATGGTGAAACAGTCTTAGCTCCTCCCCAAATAAACTCAAATTGTTACACTGAAGGCCTGTTTTCCTCAGTTCCTTTCACCCAGTAAGTGCATCATGTCCAGCTTTTAACAAATTCTAGTATACTAGAGGACAAAAATCAGGGCAAGCAGCACCAGACTCAGACTGGGCCGAGGTGTTGGAATGATCAGACTGGAATTTACACCGACAAGGATGAATGTGCTGAGGGCTCTAATGGAGGAAGTGGGCTCATGGGAGAGCAAATGAGCAACTTGAGCAGAGACAGGAGCCAGCAGGGACATGGTTGAACTGAACAGCAAGTGGACATTTATAATTTACTTCAACAGACTACACCTCAAGCTTACAGAACATTCACCAAGATAAGTTACATTTCTGGGCCATAAAACACACCTTGATGACTTTTTAAAGATGGAAGTAATACAAAGTATCTTTCAGACCATAATGTCAACAGAAAATCAGCAGGTGCTGTAGGGGGCAGGCTTGTGACTGGAGGTTGGAGTGACCCATGGTTCCTGCAGGAGGATGTGATTGGTTTGTTTGGGTAATGCTGAGGGCGACAGGGAGGACAGCCTCTTAGGTGGAGGACATGTGGGGGAAGTAGCTGGGTGGGGACATAACTGGAGAGCGAGGGGACTCCCAGCCTTCCTGAGGCAGCACATGAAATTTTGGATCTTAGAACAGGTGTGAGGAAGGCTCCAAACCCATTTTTTGTATGTATGTGTAGTGACAGCATGATTTGTTGAAAAGAAGACTCTGTCCCATTATAGTGTCTTAGCACTCGTCAAGATAATTTTTGTCTGCACCCTCAGTTGTATTCCATTCATCCCTGTCCTCACGCCACTGCCACGATTGATCTCATGATTATTGTAGCTGTACAGTAAGTTTTGAAATCAGCAAATGTGGTTCCTCTGATTTTATAATTGGTTAAAACTGTTTTCCACATTCTGGATCCCTTGCATTTCTATATGGATTTTAGGATCAACTTATCAAATTCTTCAGAAAAAGGCTGTTGGAATTTTGATAGAGGTTGCACTGAATCTGTAGATCAATTGGGGGAGTTTTACTATTTTCCCAATATTTAATTTCTAGTCCATGAACATGGGATGTCTGTTTTTTATTTAGGTCTCTAATTTTTTTCTTTTGTGTTTTTCTTTTTCACTTTACTTCTTTTGTTAATTTTTTTTTTTTTTTAATTTTTCTATGCTACTGTAAGTGGATTTGTTTCCTCTTTAAAAAAAAAAAAAAAATCCCTGACTTTATTAAATGCATGAGTCATAAATTAAGTATTTGGGGGAATGTCAGCCTAGAGCCTCACCTCATGCACAGATAAATTCTATATAAATTACAAAGATAAATGTAGAAACCAGAGTAAAAAAATATAGGGAATTTTTTTCATATTGCTGGATGGAGAATGACTTTCTATACATAAAAATAACTGGAAAAATTGAGAAAAATATGGATATATTTGTTTACATTGAATTTTTAAATTTCTATATTTCAAAATAATTAAAAATTACACAAATATTTGCAACAAGACTCTGCAAAACTGACATTTAAACTGAGATTAGAAGGAAAAATAAGAGGCAAAAGAGCCTTATTAAGTGACTCCATAGAGAATCGTGAATTCCGTGAATTGGGTAGAGTATGTTTTGATGTTTGAGGACTTGAAAGACCAGTGTGGCTGATGGAAAATGAGAAGTCAAAAGGGATATGAGATGAAGTAAAAAAGGTACAGTAACCCAATCATGTAATGTCATGCTGAGGATTCCGAATTTATATATTTATTTTAATAGAAAGCCACTAAAGAGTTTTGATTAAATTTTCATTTCAAGAATATTTTTCTGGCCATTGTGTGATGAATGGATTGGAGAAGGGAAAGAGTGGAAGTGAGCTGAGTCAAAAGGTTATGAAAGTAGTCTAGGAGGGAAATGAAGGTGGCTTGTATGGGCCAAAATCCTCAGAAGAGGATGGGTTTGGGAGGTAGAATCAGAAAGAATTGAAAGAATCAGGAAGACTTGGGAAGTAAGGAGGAGGGAAATATCAATGATAACTTTTAGGTTTCTGGTTTAACAGTTCAAGCTTTTCGGGTTTGATGGAGGTATCGTTTACTGAGCTGTGGAGCAGCAGGCTTGGATGGGGGAGGGTGTAGAAGAGTTTTGTTTGAACATTAGAATGAGGTGCTTCTGAGACAGCCATGTGGAGATGTGAAGGATGTAGTGGGGATATGAGTTAGAGTCAGGATAGAAGCCTGGTTTGGAGATAAAAATCTAGGAGTTGGCAGCATAGAATTGATGTTAGAATAAATGAGAATGGATGAGGTCATCCAGTATAGAGTGAGAAGACCCCAGTACAGAGGCCTGGAATTTTAGAGATTGGCAAGAGAAGGGAAATCTTGAAAAGGAGACTGATAGAGCAAGCAGGAAGGTAAGAAAGAGACGGAGAGTGAAGTTCTGTTGCATCAGAGGGGAAAGGTCTCAATGCAGAGAATGTCACACTGGACAGGTCCAATAAAATGAGGACTGAAGAGTCTATGGGATTTGGCAACCTGAGTAAGAAAATCATTATTAGAGTGGGTTAGGGAAGGGGACAGATGGGGAGAGGTTGAAAAGTGAGAGAGGAGGCGAACTGTTTCTAAACAAGCTCTTAAAGGCAGTTGTTTAGGAGTAGGGAGCCAAGGTTAGAAGAATTTAGTGGGAGTTCTGGGTAGTGTGGGATACCTGATAGAGATTCACGGTCATGAATGTAAAGGGAGATCAGTCTGCTTAGTTGTGTGATTTTCCCCAGCAACAGAAGTTGCTTGGGTGCAGGCACAGAGGGAGTGAGGTCACACTGGGGGTTTGTCAGGTGAGATGTTTGCCTGTGAAGTTGATAGATGGGGTGAGACTTGGTGGAAATATGGAGGGTTGGCATAATGTTCAAACGAGAATTCTAAGGTAAAGGCAAAAGGTTACTGTGCTGCGGGCAGCTAACTAGCCACCTCAGACGGATGAATAAAGAAAAATTAAATTTATTGAAAGGGGATGGGTATCCAAAGGGAAGGGCTACACAGCACTGAGTCAAAGGGCATTGGGTCCATGATGGCAGCAAAAATACACTTGAGACAGATAAGAGTATAGAAGCAACAGCAGGAGAACCTAGGCTGGGCTGCTTGGGCTCACTGAGGAGTCAGAGAGAAGGGGGCCTTGGAGACAGGTTTGGGGGGTAAGCCCCGGACGAGCTGCTGCTGCCCATTGCTCCCCTGATGGTGCTGGCTTGTTCCTCTGGTGGGGAGCACACACTGGGTCCTTTGTCCTGAGCCTATTTCTTTCTTGCAGGCAGAAATCTTAGGGGAGGTCTCAGGGGAGGGTCTCAATAGAATATTCATCAGCTTGCCAGGTGAGCTCTTTCAGGGTCGTGGCCTCCACTGATTGGCTGGTGCAGGAAGTCATTAGTCAACGTATCTGATCCTGAGGTAGCCACGGCCCCATTTGTCTGGTTTTGCTGCTTATATGGGCATGGAGCTGAAATACAACTGAGGCCTAATGTTATCTTTAGGGAGGAAACTCTGAGGGGCTGTAAACCAAATGACCAGTGATGTACTGGGGGAGGAAGGTTACCCTGGGCACAAGGTTATTGTTTTTCCACTTTTGCCCTTGCTAAGCACCCGGGGCTTCCTGCCTGTTTCTTAACCTGAGTTTCTGTATCTGGGCTTCTCTACCTTGAACATCTAATAAAAAGAACACCCATAGGGTTGGGAGAGGTTTTGAGAGATGAGGCTTGAAAGTTTAAAAAGGCAGCATAAAAATTGTCACCTTCACTTTGTGGACTTTCCATTCATGTCTTTTTTTATTGGCCATTTTCCTTTATATACTAATGACCTGAACTTCGGTTTTTGGGGGGAGGGAGGGAGGGTTTGTTTGGTTTTTATTTTTTGAATAAAAATAAGTAGCTTATTCCAAGAATGTAGGAGTTGGCTCCCCCACTTTGCCCGCATATACCCAGCCCCCACTCCAGGCCTTCACCACATTATTGTTTGTGCCCATGGGCTATGCATATATGTTCTTTGGTTTATCTTTTTCAGTTCCCTCCCCCTCCACTTTTCTGAGATCTGTCAGTCTGTTCCATGTATCCATGCCTCTGGTCCTATTTTGTTCCTCAGTATTTGTTCATTAGATTCCACGTATAAGTGAGATCATACGATATTTGTCTTTCTCTGACTGGCTTTTTTTACTTAGCATAATAATCTCCAGGTCCTTCCATGCTGTCCAAAAGGGTACCAGCTCCTTCCTTTT